AGATGGAAGATCTCTGTCTATGTGTGTGTCTCTCTCTCTCTTTCATTCTGCCTTTCAAATAAACTTTGAAAATTTTAAAGAGAAGAGAAATACTACTAGGCATCAACTTAAAAGCAATACACATACATAGATAGAGATAGATATGGGGAAATCTTCAAAACATGCTAAGAGAAAAAAATCATGGTACATAACGATAAATATGGTATAATTTATGGACAATAGCAATGTATAGAACACTGTTTTGTGAGTATAGTATATAGGTGTGTAAAGGCATAGAAAAATCTGGATTTTCTACAAATTTATTATGGATGGATCTTAAAACATTGACAGCCTGTCAGTATAAGTGCATGGTTAAGGAAAGTTTAGCTCCATGTATATTTTTTACATTTATCACAAGGTAAATGTAGTCTGTGTATTATTTGAGTAGTAAGAAAGTAGTTCTTTTTAAAAACTTATTCTTTATTTGAGCCCAGAAAAGTTTTCCTTATTATCATTTGTCAGTTAACTAGGACATCAGATGCACTCTGTGCTATAATCCTTCAGTACTGGGTAAGTTTGATAATCTCTGGTTTTCAGCTCTAGCTGTACTTTGGCATCACAAGGGGAGCTTTCAAAATGTGGGATGCCGAGGTGTCACCTTAGGACAGGGTGGGGCCCAGGATCTGTGATTGCCTAAAGTCCTTACTGGTCATCCTACATTATACATGCCAGTAAGCGCGGGGAGCCCTGAGCTGCTTTGCTGGTCCAGTCACATCCTCCTGCAGCCTTCATGTGCCACATTGCCTTTGACAGCCTCCCTCACCTCTCCAGCCTCGGTTTTCCTTTGGAAGATGATTAATTGTTGAGTTGTCATGAGGACCCGATGAGAAATGAAGTACCTTAAAACTGTGAAAACACTTGCTATGAGAAGTGTTCTCACCCAAGGCTTTCACAACCTGCAGTTACTTCTCAGAATTCCTTTTTCTTTTTTTCCCTTCCTCCCTCGCTCCTTCCCTCTCTCCTGCTTCCTTCCTCTTTCTTTAGCTGACAAATGCAAATAGTATGCATTGACTGTGTACAGGATGTTGTTTTGACATATGTTTACCTTGTGAAAGGGACAAATCCAGTTAGTTAACATATGCATCGCCTGACATACCTGCCATTCTCTGTGTGTGTGTGTGTGTGTGTATGTGTGTGTATGTGTGTGGGGGGGGTGGTGAGAACACTTAAAATCTATCCTCTTAGCAATTGCAAGAATGCAGTCCACAGCTCTAAACTACAGTCACCATGATGTGCAATAGGCTTCGTGGAGCTCTTGAATCTCTTGCTCCTACCTGAGGTTTTGAAGCCTTTGACCAACATGTCTGCATTTCTGATTCCATAGTAGGAGATGGACTTTGAGAAAGGAGCATTCACTTTTTAGCCAAGTTTGTTCAAACTCCTTGAGTAAACCACACAGTAACGACGAGAGAGTGTTTTGAGTGCATAATATATGAGTTGCTCCTAGATTTCATTCCTCGTCACAAAACCCCAGTGACATAGTGTCGCTCCCCCTCTTCGTGGAGGAACGACACAGGACCCTGCGCTGTTCTTTTGTCTGCTCGGCCCTCCCCGGGTTTGCTGCTGGTTCTTCCCGGGTTGGCTACCGACCCTTCCACCTCCGTGGAAGGGCGGTTCCCCCTGCCACTTTCCCCACTTCCGCGGGGGAGCGGCACACCGCCGGCCGGCTCTCTCGGGGGCTGCACAGGTGTTCCTTCAGATAGATGTTCCTCGTGCATGTTGTCTCTCTCCTCCTTTATAGTCCTCTCCACCAATCCCAACTCTGCTACCCACACGCCGAGTACGCTGCTCTCCTCCAATCAGGAGCAGGATCAGCTCCTGCAGGTCATCACTCAAGTTGGCGAGAGGCAGCTGCGTAGAAGTTGTTACTCCCTTCTCAGCGCCATATTGTGGGAAAGCAGATGCATAGAATAAGTCTTAATTCCAGTAACAGTCTAGTCCGAGTTGCTCCCCACAACATAGATATTATGATAAACCCCTTTATGCAGAAGAGGAAACAGGCTTAAGGAAATGAAGTAACTTCCCCCAACATCATGCAACTGGCAAAAAGCAGTCAAGATTCAGGGGCTGGTGTTGTAGCACAGTGGGTTAAGCTAACACCTGCAATGCCAGCATACCATAGAGGAGTGCCAGTTCAAATCCCACTGTCCGATTTCCAGTCCAGCTCCCTGCTAATGCACCTGAGATGCAGAAGATGGCCAAGTGCTCTGGCCCCTGCAACCCTTGTGGGAGATCTGGATGGAGTTCCTGGCTCCTGGCTTTGACCTGTCCCAACCCTAGCTGTTGGGACCCTTTGGGGTGGTGAACCAGAGAGTAGATCCTGTCTGTCGCTCCCAGTTGGGATTCCGAGTTAGGCTGTCTGGCCATGGTACCACCTCTTCCCCATTTGCCACAGTTAGTTTTACACCTCTGCATACTGAAAGATGGATCACACAGCTATTCCAGAGCTTGCCATGCTCTGGTGATTTAGCAATACATGTCAAAAATCTCACAACTGCATACACAAGGGCGTTTCAAAAGGTTCCTGGAGAAAATGGAATTGGAACACAAGTTTATTTTGGTGCAAAAAAAAATGGAAATTCATGCACAGCTTTTTACAACACATATTTTCCGTAACCTTTTGGAAGACCCCTCATATCACATTGATTTACCGGTTCTACTTCCAGGAATTTAACTGAAGGAAATAACTGGAGACATATCCAAATAGCTAATTGCAAGGATCTAATTACAGCATCAAAAGAAATCTAATCAATTGGGAACGGATAAAGTAGATTCTGTGTCTACCTAGTGGCATCCCCTGCAGTGGTGACAGCTTCTTTTTTCTGTATACAAGAAATTAGCAAGGAAAATGTAGATGAATGACTTTTCTTTTTTTTTTTTTTTTTTTTTTTTTGACAGGCAGAGTGGACAGTGAGAGAGAGAGACAGAGAGAGAAAGGTCTTCCTTTTGCCGTTGGTTCACCCTCCAATGGCCGCCGCTGCAGCCGGCGCACCGCACTGATCCGATGGCAGGAGCCAGGATCCAGGTGCTTTTCCTGGTCTCCCATGGGTGCAGGCCCAAGCACCTGGGCCATCCTCCACTGCACTCCCTGGCCATAGCAGAGAGCTGGCCTGGAAGAGGGGCAACCGGGAAAGAATTCGGCGCCTCAACCGGGACTAAGAACCCGTGTGCGGCGCGCAAGGGGAGGATTAGCCTATTGAGCCACGGCGCCAGCCTTGACTTTTCTTTTTAAATTCTACATACTGGGGCTGGGATTACAGCACAGTGGGTTAAGCTTGTGACCCTGGCGTCCCATATTGGAGTGCCAGTTCCAGTCCTGGCTGTTCCACAACTGATCCAGCTCCTTGCTAATGCATCTGGGAAAGCAGCAGAAGATGGTCCAAGTCTTTGGGCCCCTACCACCTACATGGGAGACCCAGATGGAATTCTAGGCTCCTGACCTGGGCCTGACCCGGCCCTGGCTGTTGTCACCATTGGGGAAGTGAACCAGTGAACAGAAGATTCTCTCTCTCTCTCTCTCTCTCTTTCTCTTTCTCTTTCTCTTTCTCTTTCTCTCTCTCCTTTTCTCTTTCTCTTTCTTCTCTCTCCTTTTTGCTCGACATACTAAAGTGTTTATGTAAAATGTGCACGCACATAGAGTACAATAATGTATTCACAGAAGAGTCTGAAAGGAAATAAACCAATGCTGATTATCATCTTTCTCTTGATAAAGAACTGTAGGTGATTCTTGTTGTGTTCTCTCTGTTTATCTACATGTTCTAAATAAGTAATAATTGTAACAAATGTTATTACTTCAAAAAGAAGATTTATTTATTTATTTGAAAGCAAGAGTCACAGAGAGAGCTCTTCCATCTGCAAGTTTACTTGCCAGATGGCTGCAACAGCCAGGGCTGAGCCAGTCTGTAGCCAGGAGCTTCGTCCGGGTCTCCCATGTAGGTGGCAGGGACGGGAGCACTTGGGCAATCTTCCACTGCTTTCCCGGGCCATTAGCAGGAAGCAGCTTCAGAAGTGGAACAGCTGAGACATGAACTGGTGCCCATACGGCATCACAGGTGGCAACTTTACTTGCTACACTACAAATGTTCTTACTTTTAAAGCTTTTCATTTTTAATTTTGGTTAAAAATAAGCACATAGCATAAAATCTGCCATCTTAGCTATTTCTAAAATGGTTAACTTCCTAAGATTTCTTAAAAAAAAAAAGATTTATTTATTTATCTGAAAGTCAGAGTTACAGAGAGGCAGAAGCAGAGCGAGAGAGAGGTCTTCCATCTGCTGATTCAGTCCCCAAATGGCTGCAACAACTGGAGCTGCACCAATCCGAAGCCAGGAGTCAGGAGCTTCTTCCAGGTCTCCCACACTGGTGCAGGGGCCCAAGGACTTGGGCCATCTTCTACTGCTTTCCCAGGCCATAGCAGAGAGCCAGATCGGAAGTGGAGCAGCCAGGACTCGAACTGGTGACCATATGGGATGCTGGCACTGCAAGCAGTGGCTTTACCCCCTACACCACAGTGCCAGCCCCACTTCCTGATGTTTCTACTGGGCAGTTCAGAAGTGTGAAGTGCATTTACACTATTGTGTACATTTTACTACTTTTACAACGAATAAGACAGTTTTACTTCTTTAAAATGCCACACTCACTGTTTTGAAAATTTCAAACAATAACACACCATACCCCTGGCTTCAACAAGGCGATGTGACATCCCCAGGTGTTCCTAGGCACCTCTGTGAAATGTGTCCAACATCCCTGAGTGACTAGGGTACGGAATAGCACAGGTAGATACTGACATTCCCATCTGCTCCGAGACACTGCATCAGAGATGGTGACAGCCACTATAATCTCTCACAGTAAGCAGGTGCCAGGCCAGGGCAGAGCTGTGCCTCCACCACTCCACTTATTGTCAAAGAAGTGTGCGCGGATTCTGTCTCCAGCCTCCCTGATCGAATTCTTCCTGTCTTCCAGATAATTGCTTATCAGCCCTATGGGAAGTCCGTGGATTGGTGGGCATTCGGAGTCCTGCTGTATGAAATGCTGGCTGGACAGGTAATTGAATTTTAAGTGGTCTGTAAGGAAAGTCTTCTCCCAGCTCCATCCGCTAGCTTTCTTTGGAACAAAGTGTCAGCTTGGTTACAGCTCATAAATCTGAACTTCTGTGACTTTCCTGGCCTTGGGGTTATCCAAGTCTGTTGGCCATTTTTCCTCGTCAAATGCTTGGCAGCCCTCGGCTGTGGCCTCACTGTGAGCCCCAGGGAGCAGGACCTGACAGTTTGGGGTGAGTGGGGGAAGGGTTCAAGCAAGGCTCCTTCTCCTCCCACTCCATCCTCTGTCCCACAGGCACCCTTTGAAGGGGAGGATGAGGACGAGCTCTTCCAGTCCATCATGGAACACAACGTGGCTTACCCCAAGTCCATGTCCAAGGAAGCCGTGGCCATCTGCAAAGGGGTGAGTAAGCCCTTCAGCGAGGACCACCACATATGGGTCATGCGTAGACGACAGACACCCCACTGTGGGGAATGAAGACTGAACTGCACCCCTCACCCCACTTGCCATGCCAGAGCCCTGGTGTGGAGCTGCTATCTCCCAGAGTGCTTTTTTTTTTTTAAATTTTAATTTTCACAAAGCACCATAGGACCCTGCTTGGGACAGGATCTTGCTGCTGGCTGCGCTCCAGCCTCTAGCCCTGTGCCAGCAAATGCTTATTGAATGAATAGTGGAGGAAGCATGGAGACTTTGCCCAAGAGCTGGAGTCCACAGAAGGGAGCACAAGAGGTCTTTGGCATCCTTGGGCTACCTTGCCTTGCTCTGCTGTATGTATGTTTGGTTAATACTAATAGTGTATCACTTTCGTTCTAAGGAAATGTCTGGCAGCATTGAGTTTAAAAGGTCCTCTATTTAGGCAAACTCAAATTCGGTGTCCCCAAACCCTTAGTTTCTCCTCACCCCTATTGTACAGGAATAGCTGAACGTGTGCGCACATCTATGCACCTGCAGGGTATGAAAACTGCACCTGTGAAGACAGCAAGGCACACATTAGGGAGTAAGAGGTGTTTGTGATACACCTGTGTTGGACCAGTACACACTCATGGTGACCTGTGTAAGACTCTGAGTGGCCCCCGCCTTGGAAGCCATCAGAGTAACCTGAAGTGCTTTGTTAGATGACACAGGTGGGGACAGGTGTTGTGGTGCAGTGGGTTAAGAGACTGCTTGGGTTGCCTGCACCCATGTCACAGTGCCTGGAATCAAGTCCTGATTACTCTCTGTTTCCAATCCATCCTATTCGTGCACCTGGACGGAACTGGGTGATGGCCCGAGTGCTTGGGTTCCTGTCACCCATGTGGGAGACTGGGACGGTGTTCCTGGCTCCTGGAGAGTGAACCAGCAGAGGAACGATCTCTCTGTCTCTCTCTCCTTCTCCCCATGACTCTGCCTTTCAAATAAATACATTTTTCTTAAAAAAAAAAAAAACAGCAGAGGAACGATCTCTCTGTCTCTCTCTCCTTCTCCCCATGACTCTGCCTTTCAAATAAATACATTTTTCTTTAAAAAAAAAAAAGGAATGCACAGGTCTCAGCCTCACTCCAGAGATTAAGTCTGGGCTTCAATGTTGTGAAAACATCTCTCTGTTGCTCAAAAACCACTGCCTTGCAGCATTTTATCCAAAGTCGTTTTCAACTCTGATGGGCAATGTTAAAGCAACACATGTGACTCCAGAGGACGCGGTCCAAGGATGATGCCCCGGGAAAGCATCTGCTCTCCCAGAAATTCCTTCAGGAAGCCTTCGCCTGTGCTGCACCACACAGCGGCGCAGGTGCATTCCCAAGGGTAGAGCATGGTGGTGCCTTAGCAGTGTGCTCCCCTTTGAGTGTCTGGATGCACAAAGCGACTGGTCCTGAGTCCTTGGGTCCTTCACCAATTAGCCATGCCCACCAGCCCTGCTCTTCCTTGCCCCAGTCCAATGCCACCGGAGCTGGTTGGGGTGACAGGAAGAGCTGGAATACTCAGGCGGGCCAACCTGAGGCTTGACCCAGGTTGTCGTAGCTGAGCCAACCTTGTCACATCACCTGAATTCCCACTCTCAGTGACACACCCAAGTGTTGTGTTTCTGCTTCCTAGGCTAAAGATGCAAATGTCCCCGGGAGAATCATGTGTGAATTAGTCTCAGTTCCTATCATCTTCAAGTGGCTGAAACTGTTTTCTTAGAGAGTGTGAGGCAGGAAGAGGAACCTGAACAGAGAGTGAGACCCAGGGGTTCATTAGTCACTTGCGCAGAGCCCATAGGAAAAAGGGCACAGACGGTGGCTCTGCAGACCCCTGGCGCTGTTTTGCTGGGGGAGGATCGGGAGGCGGTCCTACACTGGGCTCCAGCATTCGGAGATCAGGAGATGCCCCACACACTGTCAGCTTGCCAGTTGCTGTGGAGAAAGCAGATCTTGCTATGCCGGCCTGTGGTTCCTGCACCACCCGTCAGCTGGGTGGGAAGCCGCCACCCACTTCAGAGGGACCTCTCCAGTTTGCAGAAAGTCTCTCTAGCTCCATTCTGTCTGGACTCAAGTTCCGGTCCAGGCGTGATTAGCGCTGTGAACGGGACGAAGTTGTTGAACTTTGCCTGAGGATTGAGGATCAGCACCACACTTCGCACAGGGATCCTGGAGGATCCCGTGGGTTAATAGCTGCAGGTCACTCATAGCAAAGCCCTGAGCTGTGCTTCAGAGCCCCTGGACTATTACTGTGACCAGGTCTGTCTGTCTGTCTCTTTCTCTCTCTTTTTCTTTTTAAAAGATGTATGTATCTGTCTGAAAGGTGGAGCTACAGAGAGAGACAGAAAGAGAAATCATCCATTTGCTGGTTCACTCCCCAAGTAGCCACAAAGGCCTGGGCTGGGACAACCCGAATCCAGGATCCAGGAGCTTCATCTGGTCTCTCATGTGGGTGCAGGGGCCCACTTGGGCCATTTTCCACTGCTTTCCCAGGTGCATTATCAGGGAGCTGGATTGGAAGTAGAGCAGGCAGGTCTTGAACCAGTTCCCATATGGATGCTGGCATTGCAGGAGGTGGCTTTACCCACTATGCCATAGCACCGGTGGCTATTTCTAAGTTGGCACTGCTATATTTTTTAAAGATTTATTTATTTATTTATTTATTTATTTATTTATTTGGAAGAGTTACACAGAGGGAGGAGAGCCAGAGAGAGAGAGAGAGAGTGAGGCCTTCCATCCGATGGTTCACTCCCCAATTGGCTGCAATGGCCGGAGCTGCATTGATCTGAAGCCAGGAGCCAGGAGCTTCTTCCAAGTCTCCCATGCAGGTGCAGGGGCCCAAGGATTTGGGCCATCTTCTGCTGCTTTCCCAGGCGATAGCAGAGAGCTGGATCGGAAGTGGAGCAGCCGGGTCTCAAACAGGCGCCCATATGGGATGCCGGCTCTTCAGGCCAGAGCATTAACCCGCTGCGCCACAACGCTGGCCACCCCCCACCTCCCAGCACTGCTATATTAACATGCCAGTCTCCTCTTGGCACTTGAGTTTGTGTGCTAGAAATTGTAAAAGTGGAGGATCTGGGAGCTCAGGAGACCCTTTGCAAATCTTGATCCTTCCACTTCCTTGGTACATGGTCTTGAGCACGTTTCTTTGCCTCTCTGGGCTGTGTTTCTTTATCTGCAAAAATGGAATTCATTATACAGAGTTTTTGAAAATGTTCAATGATGGCATAGAAGACGGAGCTCCTTGCTTGGCTTTGGCACACAGTAGGTGCTCAATACAGGCTCAGGTCTCTCTCCCCTTTCGGAAGCCCGCCCTGCCTGGCCAGCTGGGGGCTCTAAATGGGTCATGCAGGAGAGAGGATTTTCCAGGTCAGCTGCATTCAGCTTCAGCTCCAATTAGCACTTTCCCTGGTAGAGCAGTTTCCTATTAATTCAGGACCCATAACCTTCAGGATTAACTGGGATGACTTGCTTACTGTTGGGCTTGGGGACCTCTCTGGGTTGAGTGGGCTGAGTCCAGTGTGGGCTCTTACTTCAAGACGGATGCTCCGAAGAAGGAGTGATGCTCGCGTGATCAGCCAGATGCTTCCTCCTGAGCAGCGGGCCCGGGGGATGTGTCGGGGAGGTGATCAGAGGTTGGAACAGTGATTAAATCCAGCTGTCTATCTGGCTCCAGGCACCGCAGAGCAGAGTGTGGGAACTGGGCAGAGGCTCCCCATGTGGGCTGGATGTCTCTGCAGGGACATCTCTTTGCTGGGCATCCCTCTGCTGAGATGGAGATGGAACGAGACTTCTGCAAACAGCTGCGGTGCCCTTTCTAGATTCATCCTATGAAAGGCCCTTTTTCTACCTTAAAAAAAAATAGTATAACCTTACTCAGATTTTCATTCCTTCTTTGAACAAGCTTAAAGCAGACGAGGCTCAAATTGACCACTCATTAGCGTGAAAACTAGCAGAGACTGAAGATCAGAGTCCCAAAGGCTCTGGATCAGGTGCATCTATTCAAAGCCCAGCTCTTCTCCCTAGCTGTGTGACCTTAGGTGAATGCCCTAACTTCTCGGGACCTCATCTAGGAAGTAGGGATAAACCCTGCATGTGCTGAGCAGTGGCTGAGGGGCTTCACATAGGATGTGAAGGCATTACTGATATGACCAGCGTGCTTCCAAATGTTCCTGCAGAATGCAAGGGCTTTGGTCTTGTTATCATACTAACCAACACCTCCTAGCTCTTTCTCTCCTGCCATCCCAATCCTATACTGCTCAGTTTTCCCACCTTCTATCAATCTTTGTGGACTAAGCCAGGCCACAGACATCCCCAAGAAAACTACATACAATGCATCCTTTCTTTTTGCTTAAAAGCCCAAGTTGGGGGGCTAGACAGGGGTCGGATCCAATCACAGCTCTACCTCATGTTATCTCCAGAGGATGAGGTTCTGCTAACCTCTCTGAGCATCAGCCACTCTGTCATTCAATGGGAAAATCACATACCCCACGGCAGTGAGCTACTGTGACAGCCAGGGAAAATCATGCATGTAAATAAGGAAGTGGCTTAGAACCTAAGTGCCCAGTTATTTTTCTCCCAGAAGATGGAAAGCATGTATGGGAAGAATGTGCTTTTTTTTTTTTTTTTTTTTTTTTGACAGGCAGAGTTAGACAGTGAGAGAGAAAGACAGAGAGAAAGGTCTCCCTTCCGCTGGTTCACCCCCAAATGGCCGCTACGGCCAGCGCGCTATGCCGATCCAAAGCCAGGAGCCAGGTGCTTCCTCCTGGTCTCCCATGCGGGTGCAGGGCCCAAGCACTTGAGCCATCCTCCACTGCCTTCTCAGGCCACAGCAGAGAGCTGGACTGGAAGAGGAGCAACCAGGACAGAACTGGTGCCTCAACCGGGACTAGAACCTGGAGTACCAGTGCCGCAGGTGGAGGATTAGCCTACTGAGCTGTGGCCAGCCAGGATGTGCTTTTGAATGTGACCACAGATTATCTTGTATGCAGGAAACAGGCTAAGCTGCAAGTCCAGTAGCATAGGTGGGAAGTTCTGGGCTGATCCTTTTCCCATAGTCAGCAAGTCCTGGGCAAAATATGAGGTTGTGACATCATAGATACCTGGTGATATCATGGGCTAGCTGGTGACATCATAGATACCTGGTGACATCATAGGCTGGATGATGACATCATAGGCTACCTGGTGTCAACTCTGAGGAGCCTCTTGGATTTGTATATTCCAGCTGCTACTGTTTCCTCTTCTGTGCCCTCTTGTTGGTCTTCTTTTTAAAATGACCAACCCCCCATTGCCACTCTCTAGACATTGGCTGAAGTCTTGAGAGCAGAGATACTTTTGTGCTACTTGGGATTCACTTTCAAGAGGAAGCCTCGGGGACCAGCACGGTGGTGTAGCAGGTATAGCTGCCGCCTGCGGTGCTGGCATTCCATATGGGTGCTGCTTCAAATCCTGGCTGCTCCACTTCCAGTCCAGCTCTCTGCTATGGCCTGGGAAAGCTGTAGAAGATGGCCCAAGTCCTTGGGCCCCTGCACCCACATGGGAGACCCAGAAGGAGCTCCTGGCTCCTGGCTTCAGATTAGCACAGCTCCAGCCATCGCAGCCATCTGGGGAGTGAACCAGTGGATGGAAAACCTCTCTCTCCACCTCTGCTTTACTGTAACTCTGCCTTTCAAACAAATAAAAAGAGAGAGAGAGAGAGAGAGAGAGAGAGAGAGAGGAAACCTGCTGAGTTTCATCTCAGATCATCCATTCGTCTCATTTTTCAGCCCTGGCTCAGAGACCCAAAGATGGGGGGTTTAGATAGTGAAGTAATTTAACCAGAACACCAAAGAAACCTCAGTGGAGTTTTCGTATAATGTGAGGGAAATGAGCTGGGCGAGGTTTCGACTACTTAATGAGCTTTCAGAAAGTAACTACTTGAACCTTGGGTCCATTTGGCTACTATTTTCTCTTCTGCTTTGTCATTTTCACAAGTGCTTTACTGAGAAATGCAAAGTGTCTGAAGGAAGTGGCCTTTGCCTTGGTCGGACTGTAGTTGGCTCATGGTAAGAAATGGGAGTGTGAAGATACTGAAGCTCTTCTCATCAAAGGCACCGGGAATTGCATAAAACTCATTCATCAATCAAAAGCGACCATGTGACATTCCTAACTTGAAGTTCAAGGCCACATTCAGGTTCAACAATGGTTTGACTTAACCAGAAGGGATCTCTCTCTGGGGTAGGGAGCCATGAGTGTTGTTCCAGGGTTCTTCATGACAATGACTTGGCTAGGAAATTAATGCTGGAATGAAAAACAAACAACAAAAATCCATTGAAATTCTTCCTGTGCATTTCTCCCTAATTCATTGGCATCATAATTTCTGAGTGTGTCACATTTCCTCCTTCTGATGTTCATTAAATTCAGCTTCTTTTTTTTTTTTTTTTTTTGTCTTATAGCTGATGACCAAACACCCGGGCAAGCGTCTGGGTTGTGGACCTGAAGGTGAACGTGACATCAAAGACCATGCGTTTTTCCGATACATTGATTGGGAGAAGCTTGAGCGCAAGGAGATACAGCCTCCCTACAAGCCAAAAGCCGTAAGTAAACTGCTCTGCCTGATTCTCGGGGACACGTACACCCCACGCTGTCCTCCTGCACCCTGTGTGTGCTCGGATGTTCTCACAGGGGTAGCTGATGTATGCACTTGAACGTCCACAGGAGCTCATGGAGATTTCCACGCACACAGCCCAGTCTCTGTGGATATGAGAAAGACAGTTGAGCTCTTGGTTGTATCAATTCAATTATTGTACCTGTCTTAGCTGACAACTTCTTGGGCATGGTTCTTGGGTGAGCAGAGTTCAGAGCCATTTTTGGACTGTGATAAAGAATCTAATTTTGCCCTCATTCTTTCCCTGATTCAAACTGTGTCATTTTCTCTTCCTACTGACATTGAAAAGGTCATGTTGTTTATCTCAACAGTATTTAAATGTAATTCTGAAACATACACTACGTGTGAGTCAGTAAGACAGCGGGCAGTTCGGCAGCCAGCTCCTACCCAAGGCAAAACAGAATGAAGCAGAAGCTGATGTGCCCCTGACCAGAGACTCTCCTGGAGGCTTGGGATTGTAGACACGGCTTTGAGATAACTCGTATACCCCAGGAATAAAAGTCTCCCCACCCCCACCCCTGCAGTCCTGTGCCTATGGGAGGGTTTCCATCCCCCAAAGCTCAGCAGGGCGTGCCAGTCAGCACCAAGAAAGAAGGGTGTGCCCCTGAATTAATCAGAACTGCCGTTCTACTGGGAGGATCTATCTTTGATAAAATTTAATAGAACACAGACCTGGTGGCTTTATTTGGGGGATTGTAAAGCTACCAACCAAGGCTGAAAATTGAACATAAATGTCACCATTGGAACCCAATTTTGCACAGTCTCGGTGTGAAGATGAACAGGATGATCATGGGAATGATGTTGATAATGTGATTAGTTTCTTGAGCACATACTATGCATCTAAGTGAATCCTCACAACAGCCCCTCAATGCAGGTGTTGTGCTGTGTTACTGAAGAGGAGATGGACACTCAGAGAGGTTCTGTTCTCTGTCCAAGGTCATCCAAGGTCACCTAGTCAGCGTGGGATGACAGTGAGGATCCAAACCTCAGATGATCCAGTTCCATCGTGGGCCCCCTGAATGCAAGGGCAAAGGGCATGTAGTTTGGGGAAGTCTCCCTGGTTACACCCACAGCCCGCTAGTGCTGCACCTTCCCCCCTGCCTCCCCACCCTGGATGGATAGAATCACAGCTGTACGGCAGCCTTGCTATGTCCTGTTTCTCTCTGGATGCCTCCTGGCACATGGGCCAGGTCCATTAGCTGCAGCCAGTTATACCTTGTGGTCCTTCTAATTGCTGCAAACTTAGATACTGATATCAAATCCGCCTCGCCAGAGCTGCCACCAGAGCAGCCATCTCCACAGAGCCTCCTTCAGACACAGAGAGATGCCAGCTTCCACTCGAATCGTGTGACTTCCACATCCTGCCCCGCTCCCTCCCACCAGCAGGTCCCATGTGACATCACTTCCGTGTGCCTCTGGTTCTCCCCGTCACCGACATCTGTCTTTTACAACACAGAATCTGGATTGAGCCCAAGGTTCCTCAGAACATTGGAGGCTCAGTGAATGTTAAACCATCAATTCCTCTAGGGCTCATGAACTTGAACCAGTCATCCTCTCTGACCTCCTGTTCCATCACCTGTAAGGAGTGTCTCTGAGAATCAGTTCCACATCAGAGGGTCACTGTGACCCAGAGAGACTCTGCGGGTGCCTGCTACCTCACCAGCACTCTGGGCGAGGTGGTCATTATTTCTGTTAGTGGTGTCATCTGTTAATTAATGTCTCCAGTGCAGGGCCTTTGAGGAGCACAACAGAGCCGAGTTTTATTGATGCAATTCCTGAAGATAATATCCATGTGTACACAAATTTGGGAGGGACCTTGCATTTGGGAGAGACCCTGCAGGTCCTAAGCAGTATCACCATTGTATTAGACCATTTGGAAAAAATCAAAAGTAACCTGCAAGAGAAAAGTGGGTTCCTCCTTCAGGAAGCTGGCGACTTGGGGGTGGGTCATACAACAACTCATTTGATTTTTGTGGGGCTATTGATGAGGTCTCAAAATATAGGCCACCGCCGCTCATCATTTGGCCACAGGGAAGATGTCAGTGTTTCCATTCCCACCCAAACTGCACCCAGTAGACATCTGGGGCTCGCGCGAGAGCTGTAGAATGTGGTTGCCAGACCTGCAATATCAACAGTACTTGGGAAGTGTACCAGAGCCCCATTCCTGCCTCTAGACGGGTGGGACCGTATTTCTTTGTTTCACAAGCCCTCCAAGTGGCTTGATGCACACTCCTGGTTGAGAATCACGGCTGTGGAGTGTAGCGTTGAGAGCTGAGACTGGGAAGCTAGGCAGAGGCCTGGGAAGGCAGCAGGAAGAATGACCTCTTTAGAGGGAAGACACTGGTTTTATTCCCGGTCTGAGTGCGAGGTGGTGGCTTTCTGGGTGGATCATAGGCTCAGATGGCTACACAGGCCAAGCCAATCACGTGAAGGAAGGGAGCGGGTCGGTTGGGGAGAAGAGAGAGAGAGGTCAGAGGCCATGGAATGCAGATGAGAGATAGACAAGCCCTGGCTGGTGTTGCTCTCCAAAGGGCTGCCCTGCAGGTGCAGGCTCAGTGTGGCTCCATCTAAATGGTTTTCATGAGAAGTTGGAACTTGGGATTTTTAGGTGAAACGCCCCGATTTTCCAATATGTCAGCAACAAAGTTTTGAACACCAAACACAATTCAGGGTAAATAAAGCCCATCCGTGTACTGTAGGTGGCCTATCAACTGTCCGTTTGTAACCCCTGGAGTCGTGACAAATCGGAGTCAGGATGACTTCACCTGTTCCTACTAGCAGCCCATTCTGACTTCTCCCTGCTGAGGGCTAGTGACTGTAAGTGGTCCAGCCCTGTGTCTGGCTCATAGACGTGGTTCAGAGAAAGGCAGCTGTCGTGTCATTGGTACTATGAGGATGACAATGTCTAGTAATTACCAACAAGATCCTTCAACGGCTCTCATTTGATAGGATTTCCAGCTGACCCATGTCCTGAATTTGATGATGACTTTCAAACTAGCGCAGCTGGACTGGGCTGTGCAAGTCAAGATGTTCAGCCACCAGCTCTAAGGGGAAGTGATTCCTGCTCTTGACCTCCTGAGACTGAATGAGAGTCCCGTTGCCCCTTGGTGGCTGCATTCCAGATCCTCTTGTAGATACCTAAGTCTGCAGATGCGTACGTCCCTTATATAAAATGTGTATAGCATGTGTACATCCTCCAGCATACTTGAAATTACCTCTAGATTACTTATAGCACCCAGTACAGTGAAATGCCATGTAAGTAGTTGTCATCTTGTGTTGTTTAGGGAATAATGACCACACACTCCCCCCCACCAAATCCATGTCTGTTCAAAACAGGTGCAGTTTGTTTTCTGATTATTGTTGCTCTGTGGTTGATTGAACCTGTTTGAATAATGGCTGCACCACCCACCCACTTGCCACCACCATTCATACACCTCATACATTGTAAATGTAGGTCTAAGAACTTCTCCTTCCACCCCCAGGGTTTTCTGTTTCCCATTCCCTACTCCTTCCTATCCATCGACCACTTCCTATGGGCCTCGGTGGGTGTGTGCAGAGTCCCCTGTGCCTTGTGGGATATGAAAAGGCAAGCGTGTATCTGTCAGTGGTCCTGATCCCTGTGTGCTATTAAATAGAGTGCAGCGAGAAAAAAAAAACAAGGGGCAATAATACAGGATTATAGTCAAACACCAGTGAAGGGTGCTATTATTGGAGATTCATTAAAATCACTTTAAATGGGGTTTTCGATTGTTCTCAGTGCCATCTTTTATTGTGGCAAGGACCTATTTGCAGTGTATTACTTGAAATTGTTCTGAAATACATTAGCTTGAGTGTATCGCTGCACAGTACAAGAGTCCTTTTTTTTCAAATGTGCAGCAAGTTGTGTCACTCTCTTGCTTCAGCCCTGCCCACCACAGCTCTCTGATGCCCCAGGATAATATCTACTGTTCCTCGGTACGTGTGGCTTTTGAGGTCTTCCAAGGCCAGGCCTGTGTTTCCTCCCCAGCTTTGGCTCCCGACTCCTAGAGCCAGCATTCCCAGGCCTCTTTCAGTTCCTCTGACATGCAGCTTTCTCTTCCTATGCTGGCTTGGTCCGTGCAGAGCTGGCCATCTGGGCCTGGGATGTCCAGAGCTCTCTCCCATGCTCCCCAGCATCCAAGTTCCTGGTGCCTTCGCCTTTCCCTGTACCAAATCAGTGTCACATCACCTTCTCCAGGAAGCTTTTCTTGATTCCTGAGTAGGGACTCACTGCTGCTGTATCAACAAACTCATCGCATGTTGTTATAATTTCTTGTTCAATGTCACGTTTGTCTTCTGCACTAGACTATAAAATTGCCCCATTTTCTGTGTCCAGTCCCAGTGCCTAGCAAAAGATTGAACACATAATAGATGCTGAAATTTTAAAAAATATTTATTTTATTTATTTGAAAGTGTTACAGAGAGGAGAGAGAAACAGAGAGAGAGACAGAGACAGAGAGAGATACAGAGACATAGAGAAATCTTCCATCTGCTGGTTCACTCTCCAGATGGCTGCAAGGGCCAGAGCTGGGCCAGGCTGAAGCCAGGAGCAAGGAGCTTCTTCCACGACTCCCTCGTGGGTAGCAATGGCCCAAACACTTGGACCATCTTCTGCTGCTTTTCCCAGGCCATTAGCAAGGAGCTGGATCAGAAGGGGAGCATCTAGGACATGAACTGGTACCCACATGGGATGCTGGCATCACAGGCAGCAGCTTAACCTGCTGGGCCACAACATTGGCCCCTCAAAAATTTTTATTGGCGAATGAATAAATGAAGGGCTACAAAACGGAGTGCTGCAATGCACTGTGCTATGAAACGTAAGGAATTCTTTAGGGCTAGAAGTTAAGAGTGCAGGATGTTTTTCTTATGTACAGCAGGGTGTCTCAAATAAATTGGTTGTTGTGTAAGTTA